AAATCCATCAGACCGTTCCTAAACTAATCGATTGTTACTATCTATGCAATTTAGCCCGTTCTTTTATTCATCGGTTAAGTGACCGATAACTCTGCGGTTCCACCGGCTTTTATATAACCTTGACGCTGCTGTTTCTTGATTTATTTTACACATTTATGTTTAGTTTATTTCCTATCTATATTTACTTTCTGTTTGAAATTCAGAAATTCAGTAGGTAGGTATTTCATTATATTTTTATTATTCATATGTTTTTTAACCTTCCGCTGGCATCCAGCAGATTGTTCCTAAACTCAACATAAATCACTGAACATCAGTGGTAGATTAAATCGATGGATTTAGGGCTGAGTTTAGAAACTTTCTCGAATTTAGCGATAACCATAAATGTTAATCTATTTGTAAAACTGTTGACTATTACACTGGTCTAGCAACCCGCAAATATAGTTCGTTAATAAGTGTAAGGTCAAACTTTTAAGGATAGTGGAGTCTACTGAAGAAAGAATATTTTTTGCTTAGGGAGCTATATGACGTTACCTAGGTCAGGTTGTAGAGAATGAAGTTTTAACAAATGTATTTTTTTTTTTTAGTATTTAGAACTTTTGTCTTTCCACAAAAAATTCAAATATCATTCAGTTATTCTGTAATATATGTGTGGTACAGACATTTACAATTTAAAACTTAATCCAAATTTAAGTTGGATAAAACTACAGAGTACAACTATTTGTGTTAAATAAAAATTGTAATTTTTATGTTGTGTTAAATATTTCTTAATCTCGCTATGGAATGGGAATCGTTTAAATCTGTTGTTTAAGGAAACCATGAATTTATTTCATTTTGAATATAAATTATGATTGATAATTTTCTTAAAAAATAATTAGATGGATATCGAATTAATTATACTAGGAAGATTTGCAGGGATAAGTAAGTGGAATGTTAATTTTAAATGTTCAATTTTTTTTGGTCCTTGTTTTTAAAAACCAACAAGGAAAAAACCACCTCATAATGTTGTAAAGCTATATAAAATATAATGAGCATTATTATGTCAACTTTTACTAGTCATCCATTATGACTAACAATGGATTCTCCGACTAATAACTTTATTGTGCAATCACCAATATGAATTGATTAATTAAATGGTCATTAAAATATCATACTTAAAGAAATATAGACATGCCATATTAAAAGAGCTATAAATATCAGAATCCATTTTAATTTTTTTTAAACAAACTACGTATAATTGTACAAGTTATTTTTTAAATTATTCTATCAAGATTAGATTGGGATTTCGAATAATATTAAATAGTCTTACCTCATTTCTTTAAAATTTTTGTTCAAATTCTTTCAAGGTTCAAATTACCAAATATTTTAAGAAATAAAGAGCATTAATAAACAAGGAATTACAGATAGACGTATAAAACGTAATACCTTATTTACTCAAAATTATAAAATTTGTACTTATTAAATTTCTGAAGATATCATTGATATGTATTTAGTAGTGGATTTGGCAAATACTTCATAATTATAAATTCTCTGTTTCAAAATATGTTTGCAAAGCGTATTTCGGTTTCTTAGAAATATTTTTGCATTTGCTATTAACGAATTCCTTAATGGATACCATTTGTTGTTTACACTATGTTGAGAAATAATTAGTTAGATTTTGAATGGAAATTTTAAACGGAGTTAGATGAATCCTAATTACTTTTCAATAGAATCTGGTGTTAGTCATCAATGAGTAACTGTGACACTCCGGTTATTTCTGGACATTTTAATCTGAGTTATAACTTTTCAATATTAAACTAACTGATTTAATTTTAACAAATTATCTTTAGTATACAATAAATAATTTATTAATTTATATTAAATCCGAATTAATATATTTTAAAAATATTTTTTTTAAGTATTTGGTTAAATTATAGAAAAAAAAAACTTCTTTATGTCCTACAAACTTTGATTATTAAAAATAATAACAAAGGTTAAAATTAATACGAATTATTTTTTAGAATTTTTATAATGCTATACATTTAAATATTTCAGAAAGGTTTTTCCTTGCCCTACTTTGCTGTTAATATGACGATCTCTTTAAAATGTAGGTCTTATTTTTTTAAATGCACTTGACCGCTTTTTCATGTTACATCTATGCAAGTATTCATATTAACTTGTTTCATAATTTTATTTAGTACAAGTAAGGTGGTATTAAATACCAAAAAAAATTCAAGGTTCGAAATTGGCTGTGGCAAATAATTATTTGTTCTGTTTCATCAGCCATGGTTCGACCCTGGAGTCGGGTGACCCTCCTGGGTCACACTCAGTCTCTATAAAGTGGGTGCCTTAATTAAACTTGACGGTTGAGCATATCAGCCAAATTACCTCTCTGAACAATCATTGGCCTTGAAACAATACTTCCTTACAAAGTACTGAAAATATTTCGAAGAACAAAAAATAAAATGAAATTTAATTACAATTAATCTACACGAGTGGATAAAATATGTAAACTAAAATCAATTAAAAAAAATAGAAAATTCAACTAGATGACTAATCTAAGTCCTAGAAGTAGGTACGCAAGTATTTTACCAGGACGTATCTTCCTATTATTGAAATTTTAGTTTGTATTTAAAGATAATTTTATATTAATTTCTATTATTATTTCTGTTTTATTATTATATATTGAGTTCTATTATTATATATTGAGTTCTATTATTATTATAAATTAAGTTCTAAGTAGAACTCCTTGCTCAACACACCCTGAAGAAGACCTGCAAAGTCGGGTCGAAACGTTGGCTTTTAATAAAATAGTTTAGCCACTATTTAATCTATTTATGAAGCCACCCCGGACCATCTCCTTCCTTAATAATTATATATAGGAACATCTCGTAGGATTTTATTATTCACTCATGTGCACCGTTCCAGTTTTACTTGATGATATTAACACAAATTTGAAGCATCGGAGAATTGAAAGTTCATCTTATTCCCTTAAAATAAAAAAAAATATGTAATATTTTTAATCAATGTTAACATATTTGTAGTGGTACAATTTTTTTTTTTATTTGATTGTTTAATATTTCTAATTATTCAGGTTACATAGATACGAGTCTCTTTAAACTTTTTTTTTTTTGTTAATATTATTAATATCTGGATTCATTATAAATGAAAATATGGTGCTGCTTTCAAGATGTAAACAAAAATTTTAAAAAGATATTGTCGTATGGTATACAACCTGAATAATAATCGATGAATATCATTTAATTGTGTGAACTTCTTTAGTCATTTTGCATCGATAATATTTTTTTTCATACATAATATTATTTCAGAATAGAATTTGATTTTTATAAGTGTTAAAAAAAAAGGAGAAATTATTTCTTCATAAAGAAATGGCCCAGTTAGAACTTTCTATTCCTCCATAGTATGTAACATATTCAAGCCCATACTCAATACCCTCCTCTATAACAATATCATTCTATTGTTAAACAATTTTATAATTATTGTGAAAATTCTTTTGACTCTTGTAATATTTAGAAAAGGCTCGCTGTCCTCCTAGAATGTCAATCAGTCCTTCCATTGTCAGTCTTCTTTTGTCCAGGATTGCAATATCGTCCTTCAGTATGATCTTCTATTCCGATATGTCCTTTGTTTTAAAAAGAATAATAGTAAAATAATATTTTTAAGTATCGAAAAATCAAAGGAAAATGTTTAAGATGTTTCTAAACATGACCTTAGTACTTAATTTGAATTATCTATACTCGACTATCTTGTTGACACGGAAGCTTTTCCTTTTTTTTTTTTTTATAGTACATATTGGCTTTATCTATCTTGAAATAGAAAGGTGTATATTTGCCTCTTGTTAAATAAATTTGATAAGATTGTCAATAGTTCAAGTTTATAGTTAAAAAACAAAACAAAAAACATGCTTTCCATTTTCCTTGTTAATTACTGATATTGATGAGTTATTTTAATCTGATTTTTGATAAATACCTTACGTTACCGTAGCTTACAAATTGGACGGAAGTGAATCATGGCCAATGTGGAATCTCTTTTAAAGCACTATAATTATTTGTTACTGTTTTACTTAATTATTTCAAGTTTAGTTGTTACAACGACCGAAGACTAACATGGAACCCTCATACTAGACCTAAAAGACAAGAACTCAACCCACGATACGGACCACTGAAATGAAAATCTCAACTTCCAATTGACAACAAATTACTGATCTACAAGACAATACTGAAATCTATTTGGACCTACGGACTGAAACTGTGGGGGACCGAAAATGTTTCACATTTTTGGGACAGAAACATCAAACGCATTCAATCCTTTCAGTTCGAAATCCTTCGAACAATAGTTTATGCTCCGTTTTATGTAACCAAGAAAACCTAACACCATGATCTTAATATCCAATTTTTTCTAGACCTTATCTCAGATATTTTTTCCAAATTCCATCAGAACCTTATAAATCATCCAAATCCACTTGCACAATCCCTATCTAACTGCACTCGTCCCTACAATCCTCTTGGAAGGTTGAAGTGGCAGTGGCCCAGAGATCTTTTGTAAATAAGCATGTATAGGAGTTCTGGCAATGGACAGATTCTCCACTCAAGCCATGTATGTCTGATTATAGCGCCTCTGCTCAGCCTCCACTGGTCCTTAATAACAGTAATGCGGCTGAGTGAGAGGCGTGGGATTTCTTCGAGTCCTGCCTTTCCATCTACGAGTGGGAAGAAAGGCTTTGCTCGGATTTTCCCTAAATAAATGAATTTTTAAATACTGTATAAAAGTATATTTGTACTTAAGTTATCATTTTGATTAGTTTAGTTTTGTTATTTTGCTGTTTGAATTATTTGTATTTATTGTTCATAGAGTGGGAATGTGCTGAACACTATTATAAAAGTCCTTTGAGACAGATTGTAATATTTCTCGATAAACTCGTTCTAAAAAAATTGTCAAAACATATTTCTAATGTGTTTATTAATTTTTTCATAATAAATTTTAATATTTAATTTTTTTTCTAGAGACATGGCGGAGAACAGGATACAGAATGCGGCGAAAATGACGATGATACGTCGGCAGCCAGTAGACATTGAATTCACAGATCTGTGTTACAGCGTCCCCGTCAGCAGAACCTGTGAGTTATATGATATAAACCAATAATAAAAAAACATATATATATATATATATATATATATATATATATATATATATATATATATAGCGGCTGGGGTAGCAGTATGGGCTAAGGAGCTTGCAGTAGGTAATCAAAGTTAAGCAACGTCGAGCGTGGTTAGTACTTGCATGGGTGACATCCCGATTTGGCCATGCTGCCCGAGTCTCTCCCCCCCGGTATGTGAGGCCCATCAGGCTACTGGAGGCAACTCACACCGACCGGGCGTAGGACTGAGGATCCTCCCCCGTGTACTTTAAATCAGGAAACTACAAGTTCTATAGCGCCAAGCGAAAAAAAAAAAATATATATATATATAATATTTTATTATAATTTTATTATAATATAATATACAGTTTTTATGATTTATTCTGAACTGAATCCTAGACCATATAAAATTTAATTAAAGCAACTTTTATTTTATGACTGCGCAGTGGAACAATTATTATCAAACTACATCAAACATATCTGTGGATCATTTCATGTTGCCTTGACTAATTTAATATTTCTTTGGATTAATTTTTTCTTAAAACAACACAATCCAAAATTCTCAGTATATTTAAAATCACGCCATAGACAACTATGTTAATATTCCAACAGTAAAATCATACATACAGAACAAATACATCTAATTTTAGTTTTCAGCCCACGATCACACCTATCTATCTCTTCGGCACAGGTTCAAAGATCTGTCAAGAGATTTGCTTGACCAATAATTAGTAAAAGAAAAAAAAAATACAAGACTTCATTCAGCAAAAGTAGTCTCATTTTTCCATATCTAGGTACATGTAAGTGGATCAATGGTTTAAAAAAAAATGTTAGATAGAACAATAAATTAGGTTCTGACATCTTGTAGAATTACACAACCTTTGGTGGATTCCTACACGAAACCAGGTAAACATCTTTTGATTTGTAAAACTGCTCCAGAATGATGAGTGAATTCCTCCACGGCGTGGACATAGTTTTCCTCGTCAGGTATTGGTTAGGAATATTATTTTGAAATATTAAAATTTATAATAATCGAGAAGAACCGTTTGTTTCCTATTATATACCTTCACGAACAAAGATCAGTTGCGACATAAGACCATTCTTTTAGTTTTTAGTCTAAAGTCAATTATCCTTAAAACAAATGATTACATCCATCAATCAATGTCTCGTCAGAAGGTAATGACTTTTAATTATTAGTAAATTGTCTTTAATCTATATTTCGTTTAATATTCGAACTCGGCCTTAATTTTATTCTTATCTATATATGGAATATATAGTAAAGGAAAGTATTGCGATTGTGAAAAGTTTCTCAGTTTTGAACGGAAAAACATCTTTTAAGGTCCCCTGAGTCCAAATAGCCAAGTCCCACAAAATGACCAGTGTGTGTGTGTGTGTGTGTCTATGGGTGAAAATTAAATTGCATATTTATGGTTTTTATATCTGAGATATTACAGCAAATTTTTCGTCATCTTCGTTTCGGATAACCGGAAGTGGCACTTTATATAATCCATCTAACACATTTTTACGTTTTTCTCGAAAATGGCTCTAACGCTTTTGATTAAATTCATTATATCAGTGTAAAATTAAGCAGTGTTTAGTATAATGTAGGCTTTATTCTCATTGATGTTCTCTAACAGGGCTTAAATGGCTAATTTTCAATATTAGCTCCGTCTAATTGTTTTTATTTAAAATAATTAACCATTTCACGTTGATCTCTGATATAAAAAATAGTTAAATATAAAATATGAAACAATTTAATAATTAACTAAAGGAGAAATAAGAGATCGTAACGGAATTGTTGGACGAACCGAAGGAATACGAGCGCATCCGAAAGATTTGTCAGTCTTTCATACGTAACATGAGCTTAATATAATATGGACCCCGACAATATTATATAAAAATATGTGGTTTTCATAAATGTTATCGTTAATATTATTTAATATTTAATTGTATAAATAACAACTATATAAATATTAAAATTTAAATACATTCCAGTACTTAAACAAATAAAAATACTGACAATTAAATATAGCTGTTTTCTTTATCAGTGGCACTCTTGTCGGACTAAAAATATTTTGTGACAGGTAATTATTCATTATAATCAAATAAATAATTGAAATATGCAGTCGTAAAAGGCTAAGTCAAACAAATAAATATCATACAGTAGACGGCTAAGAAAAAAATATGGTAATTAATTGTTTTAAATAAAGTTCCTTACCGTCTATAATGTTTACATTCACTTCCCTTTGTCTGAAAATACTTATTCTGTTAATACGAGGGTGATAAGTGAAACTTGTGTGATACGCGAGTCACACCAGGCTTTTTTAAATAAATAAATTAAAAGTCTACATTTAGTGATTAATGAAACCTGCGATGATATCTTCCCACCTTCTTCCTTATGACTTCAAGGCCCAGCGACACTTTAAAATGACATGCTGTCACCGACATGATGAACTTGGAGCTAGCCAATCACAGTAAAGTTCACTAGGCCGAGGTGATGGCTATGACAAATGCTCGATTCATTGATTAACAGGTATTATTTTTTTGTATTGTAGATCTCATAGCCATTGAGGCACCTTGTCATGTGTAACGCTACCGGTTCCTATTGCACTCTTTTTAGAAGCAACGCATGTATGGGTTATTTAAATTAAATTTTCAACATCTTTTCTCGCGTAGGACTTCCTGGTTCTAGTTGATACCTAAATCGTATAATTTAACTCAGCGAACAGATAAATGAAGGTTATTTCAAGCTAGAAGACCTATTTGAGTAAATAAGTAACGAAATTAACATATATATTTTATAAACCAAATGGGGATTGCTAAATGTCATGTACCAGGAAAATATACATACAAAGGCTATATACTACGAGTATATAGCTCTATTCTTAAATTATATAATTTTTTTGGCGATAAAGACCGTGAAGATGTGGTCTCTCTACGTATATTGCTTGCTGGAGCACAGATGGCCTTTAGGGGGTCACTCAACCTCACGTTGCTAAGAACCATGGTCTCCAAAGTGCAGTGGCAGGCCTTCCATCCGTAGCTCCACAGCCGACTCCTATGGAACCAATCCGACAGTGTCCTCACCGACACACTCTGTTCATAGAGTATAGTTGCTCAGAGTCATCAGGCGCACGAGGACCTATATTTCTTTTCCCGAAATAGACCGTCCATGGACCAAACCTCAGGGAGGCAATTGACATCCTGGTAGACCACATCCCAATTTCCGATTTAAGTATACGGGGTAGGGTCATCAGTCCTGCGCCGGGCCTAAATTATATAATTTAACAACAAAATTAGTAAAGCATTTAAATATTGCTTAACCAGTAGAAGAAATACTGGATGGGTGAAACAGAGAGGCGCGTTTAGGCGAATCGGCTTCATAATATAAGATAAGAAAAAATTTGATTAGATTGAAAAAATCTATTGGTACAATAATTTTTTAAAAAGGATGTGTTTCAAATAATAATAATTGTTATTATTTTGCCTCTTCAATAAAATTGTATTATTTGGAGTTTCATCGGATGAGCAATATTAAATGCCAAACCTCTTCTGGGTCGCCACAAGGGCATTGTTATCATATAGTTGAAAATAAAATATTTTTTCCTTAAAAAATGCAGTATGCAGTTGTAAATTGCATCATTACACCTCATTAAATGTCATCTTATCCCATTGTCTTTTTTTACCATCTTGGAAAAATAAAAGGTCATTCACTACCTACAGTTGAAGTTCGCCGTGTTCTAAGATGTAATCGCTTGGCATGCCTAGATGACTTTACGAACTGTCAATAAATAATATTTATCGCTAACTGCAAACCTTTATTTAGTACTAGAACCCCAATTATAACTTTCCAACCATTGTAGGTTCTTGTATGGAATGGATGCTGCTGAGCCGCGACACCAATTTGTTCTAAATATGGTTTGGACTATCTGTGTTATGAAGACTTCACGTATTATTGTCAATTGAGGCATCACAATAAATCTTTATAATTCCAGATATTAAGCTACATCATTGCATTACAAACAGACATTGCTTAGCTTAAAAGTTATGACTGCAGTCACCCTCACTTCTGCAATTGGTAATAGTAGTGACATTAAAATTTTATGAACAATGAAATAAGGAAACGAGTGAAACAAATGGACAAGATCCTCTATACCATTGAAACTATGAGACTGAAATTGGAATTTGAAATTGGAAACCGGAAAGAAGACGGAAGAAAGAAGGAAAGATCGCACGAGGAGAACCTGGTATGAGGGAGTTAAGGAAGCGATGATGAACAGGTGAATGCATTAAGAAGAAGATAGAAAAGACTTATTTTGGTGACGACATATGATTAGTGTTGTAAAAGTCGTTAAAATAAAAAAATAATTAAAATTGTATTTCCGATTTTGGTGAATTTTATTACGAAAGATAGATTTTTTTTCACAGTTATTTTTGTCAGATAGAAGAATATGGAGCTTTCTGGTCGAATTTATTAAGCTCGAGAGACTTCGATAAGCTGCGTAGTAATAAGATAAGTACGATATTAAGCACGGTGATAAGGACGGTGATAAGGATGGGCTTCATGGTGAACGGTAAGTTAGTCGGCCTATTGTAAGGTGGTCGCTGCGGACGCTCGGGTCCTTTTTGGCACCCGAAGCTGGAGATCTGCTGCAACAGACCAAGCCAACTGGCGGACGCTTTAAGAGAAGGCCTGTTGTTGGTCATGCAAAGGCTAGGTTATGGGTCATAATGCCCACTGTGATTGGAATTGAACTAGAACTACGTCGAAGCCTAATGCAAATTACACATTTGCAGAAATTAAACAAAGAGCTACAGTCCCAAACAAAAGTTTTTCGGTCTGCCGAATCATTGGTGGAAGAAAATCTTCACGAGGTATTCTGAGGTGTGACTTTAGGAAAATCTTATAAGTCTGGTCTTAACATAACTTAACACAGCTGAGTCGAATGTTATCAGAGAACGGCGAGAATCATCTC